TACGTACCTAAAATGATTCACTTGTAAAAACAATTTTAGTGCTTTTTGTGACTAAGAATATTATTTCTCTCAGAATTCTCATGAAATGACTTACCAACCATGTGCATCTTTTAACATGTCACTTGGCACCGTGCAGGAAAAGCAGCCCTACCAGACTTTCCTTTTGAAATCAACAAAATCACCCACTACAACTATGTTCTGTTTGAATGATGTGATTTTTTTCTTCTTTTGGATTGAATTACATTTAAAACATTCAAAAAGTTATTACTTCAATACCAAGGGAAGCAAAAGATTCACACAAGGCACAGAGAACAACTTGCTAGTTAATATTCATATTTAAGCTTACAATCTAGGACCCAGACAGAAGCAAAGTAGAAAAAAAAATTAAAACAAGATGTGAGATAGGAATCTTTAATCAACCTCGTTGTATCAGCCTGGGCCCAGCATTCCATCCAGTCTTCTGAGGTTACCCAGCACCACTTTGAAAATGGATTACTTTCCACCAAAAACAATGCCAAAAAGGGGCTTTAGCTCCCCTGGGGGAAATTAGAACAGCCTGGATCATCAAATGGGAAAAAATAATCATTATCAGTAGCAGTCAGAAATGGGGGGAAAGAAAAGGTGAAACCAGACGCAGGTTTTGGACCACTTAATGCCTTAGACATGCCTTTTGAAGACTGAGGTGGAGTGGCAAAAGCCCGTGGGTTTGTGATGCAAAGGAATGTTTGCTTCTCTAGTGGACGATAGAGGTGGACCTGGGGTTTTTCCAAGACATTTGGTTCTTTTTGGAAACAGTCGGTAGCTAGTCCTGGAGAGGGTAAGGCACCGATACAGTATTGTACACTTTCTATTACCAGGTCAGAGGGAATACCAACACATATGAAAGATAATATGTATCATCTCATACATGCTAACAGATGAAAAATATATTATTAAGGACTTAATACGGCTTAGTGCATATATGTGTTTGAGTTGGTGTCCCTTGTTTTGGGTAAGAGAGTTTTCCAACAGTCCTCGCCATCACCATCAAACCGAGACTCTACCTGCAGGTCACCAACCATAGAGTTCCACAGGGCTCTGGGGTGACAGCTGCCAGCATGAACAAATGCCTCAGATCCCTTTACAAGCAGGCTAAATATAACTTGCAATACGATGTAAAAACTTAATTCCAACTTCAGCAGCAGCAACATATAGCTGGCAGAAGCACTGAGAAAGTGGTGAAATATCATTTCCCAGATGCTGTGGGGTTGAATCAAGGTGTGTCTTATGGCACGTGGTCAGTTAAGGCAACATCCTTGATAGGTTATTTTACCCACTTTAAAAAAGAAGTAAAAATTAAGGAGCAATTCTGAAAGCACTGTTAACTAACAATCATTGAGTCCTAGTTTTGTCTTTTAAAAAGCAAACTATCTTGCATGAATGTTCCATGCTACCAATGAATGCTAAAAGAAAACTTGGTTGACCTAGGTATTTCCTATTTACGTAACTTATAGCCTCTATAAGATGGTCAGAGCCTTGGCCCTGCTATAGTCCTCTTTTACACTCCTACAGCAGTACACTGCTGACCTCAGTTATGTATTAAAGTTCTCTGGAAGCCAACAGCATGTAACCATACACCTATAATTAAGTACATACTTGAACGCTTTGTTAAACAGGGTAAGACTGATGAATTGCTGCCTATATAACTAATGATGAAATAGTAGTAATGTACATTTAAATTGGGATTATGCTGTAAATGTTTTAAGCCAGGGATCTATTAGCCATTGATGATTGGAATGCGGTCTACAGCCAGCCTGTGACAGGCCACTGGCACACATTGGCGTGGTCACACATGGTTGGATGTGTCTTGCAACAGACCAGCAGTGGCCCTCAGAACCTGGGATTTGCTGATAATGCTCTTCTCTTCAAATAACATGGCAGAAGAAGGGTACTGCTAACTTCAAATTTCCAGTCTAACACCTATATAATACCAATTTGAAACAGGAGGCTTTCTCCCCACTAACGAGTCACCTAGGATTAACTTTCTTCCCGCTTGCCAGTTCCTCACCCTGACAACCATTGGTGCCTCTTACCCAGTGTAAGGGCAGCAGCACTAGTGCAGTCACGCTGCTGGAATTTTAATCACCTCCCCAGTAACTTTGTTTGGAGCAAATTTAGACCACAGCACTAAAATTATCAGCAACTTCTGATAATCCATCTATGTAAGCATCTACTGATGCTTAGAAGGGTAAAACTGCAGCAGAACTAGCAATAGTAAGGAATATAACAACAACAATCTAGACAGGCTTTCAGTAAATTGCTTATAGTCCTTCTTTCTCACTAATTTCAAATTTTATTTCCTGCCCCCTTCCCCTATCCCCGTACAGAAGTGTCTCTGGGTGCCTAAAGTGAACTTGGAGCTGGGTGCCAAAATTATAGCTGTTGCAGTGCTAAGTGTGACAGACCCTAAGGTCCTCTGCTGAACGTGCGTCCTGCAGCAGACAAGCACATGCAATAATACACTACTTGAAGTGAGCAAGGGCCACAGAGCCAGCAGCCCTACGCAAATAGAGCAGAGCAAGTAACAGTAAAGGGTCAAAACCCTTATAGAATCCAAAAAAAATCAGTGGAAAAGATTCAGCCACCTCACTGCTGAGTATATGAAACCTGGTCAGAGCTTTTGAGAAGGCAAGAAACCATGTGTCGCAGCTGTGGCAGCTGAATGGCTGTATTCCTCCTGCATCCTATTAGAGGGATTTGTCCCAAGACTTAATTGGCAATTTCGCTATTCCTTTTTTGTTCAGCAGCGTTAATATACTTTTCACCGCCTTTGCTGCAGAGAAGGCACCAGCATAGCAGGGCTGCAAATTAGACCGTAGGTGCGTTGCAAATTCCAGGGATTCATTTTTCACAGGAAGTCAAAACGACCTTTAAGTGCATAAAGCAGCTGTCCCACCACACTCTGACAGTAAGCCTGCCATACCTTCGGTTAACTTCTGGTGCACAGACAGGGACTTAGATCTCTTCCAAGACAGTCAAAGAATAATGAAAAAGCAACTTTGATGCTACCTGAAACCAAACTATTCAAAGCACATCGCCTGCATTCCTCAGCTGCAGGCACTGAGCCAGGACAAGGAGATAATCATTCGGGCTGGCGATGGGGGAGGGAGAAAGGAGCTTAAGGACCCGAGAGCTGAAGTGCTCTGGTCAAGAAAATCTAGGCAGAATTTAATCTGCAAAGTAGCAATACAGTCGTGTTTCTCCCCCATCCCTCTCCCACTAGGTGCATTAGAAAATTAAAATAATCATGGACATGGCAATATTTTTTCTCCTTTTTTGCTTGTCTCTTTTATCTGTTCCATAGAAAATGAGGATCTAAACCAAGCAAACCATTTCTCTCTCATCTTGCACCGCTTTTCCAACCGTGGCTAACATTCCCTGTTTCAAGAGGGAAAACTGCCCAGTGTAATGCCCAGCCAACAGTGGAATGTTTTACATGAGGGAAGTTTCTCCTCATTTCTCCCAATCATGAACCATGCCCTGCAAACCTGAGATTTGATAACCATAATTCTCTTACTTTTACGTATCTACCAATATAGGTACGTCAACCCAAGATGAATCTGTTCTTTCAATACTGCAGCAACTGTTCTTTGACTTGATAATCTGCTGCAGCAGTGAAGTTTGCACACTGTAGAAAAAATCCGTAGTGGTTAAAAAAGGCCCCAGGGACGCTGAGCTCTTTTTCTCCTTGTGTTATGAAAGCTATCAGGGGAAAGAGGGAGAGCAGCAGCATCTCTATGCCACTACAGTATCCAACAGCAACTTTCTGTGACTCAGTCACTTGAGGAAAAGTTCCTGGAAATTTCTTAGTAATTCTAACTATGGATTCAACTCCACCGATTATGGCAACTTTAAAGTTGTTAACAATAGCTCACATGCCCTGTTCCAGCTGTTGTGTCATACAGATCTATCCCAAGCAGGTCTACATGGCAAAAGCAGCAGCAGTCCCTGCAGGCCTTAATAAACTTCCTAAAGTTGGAGAGCCAATAGACTGGAGAATGGTGTATTTGTGGCCTTACTGACCCTACGGCCCTTCAGGATGGCACGCCAGCAGAATCTGTGTTCTGCTTTCTTTTCAGCTTCCAGCAAAGATGGCCTTAAAAGTGGGTTATGCACTATATAAATCACTATTCCATGGGAGACGACCAACCCAAGCGGCACATATTCTGGCATTCAGCTTTTGCCTCCTTGTATGTAGGGACCAACAAAGAACCCCCAGTAGGCAGGTACTAGACTTTGTCTTCTAGTGTTCTTCAAGCACAAGAAGACTTGACACTAGGAAGCATTTCTTTACAGAAAGAGTTGTCAAACACTGGAACAGGCTTCCTAGAGAGGTGGTCGATGCCCAAGCCTGTCGGTCTTTAAGAGGCATTTGGACAATGCCCTTAATAACATGCTTTACGTTTGGTCAGCCCTGAATTGGTCAGGCAGTTGGACTAGATGATCATTGTAGGTCCTTTCCAACTGAACTATTCTGTTCTGTTCTATTCTAAGAAGGAAGTCACTCTGAAGTCAGAAGGAAGTCACACCTCCCCCAGTGCTCAACAAAGTTGAGCAGTGTAGAATGGTGAAACTGTAGAAAAGGATTTGCATTCATAGAATGGAACAGCAGAACAAAACACCCCAAAAAAGCGGTTCCAAAGAATGTCTTGGGAACTGCAACTACATGACTAAAAAATCTTCTCCATGCTCAACTGCAATAGCAGCACAGACAGTAACAAAGGCATCTTTGGTATCTTTGCTTTTAAGAGCAGAGCATATGCCAACAGCACAAAAGAATATAAAAACAGTAGAAAAGAAGTAACAGCTCAGTGTGCCCTGGTTTCCATGCAGAGTGTTATGTACTCATTTAGAACCTAACACACAGTCTGTTTATATGCTAAATGCATTCGTAATACAAATAAAATGTATTTAAAGAACACCAAAAACATATAAAACAAGAATGTTGGAGAATGTCTTACCTTTGACCCAATAAGTGTGTACAGCCATTGGATGGTTTCATTATGATTTATTACTCCATTCATGCCATCAACATAGAGCATAATCTGGCCCAAAGCTATTGTAAAGAAAAGAAATAACATATAATCAGACCTGGTGAACACTTTTTATAATCCTAAGCATTACTGGCAATTTTCTATAAGCAGGGTTTTCCAGAGATGCAGGGAGCTCAACTAACGAAAGATCTATTGGGCAAGATTGTGCTGGACAAAATCCTGGGCAACTGCAGTAACTTTACTGACTTCATCTGGATGACACAGGTATGAATTTCATCCAGGGACAAGCACAGGCACTTGTTCCTTCCTAGAAGATGCCACATTTTATTGCCCAAAAAATCTGCAAACAGTATTCTACACACTGCTTACTGTCGCAACGGTTCCATCAGCTACAATGCTCTACATCTTGTGAGCCAAGACTTTTACCATTTGTTTCAGCACCATATAATGTTTGGAATTAGTATATTTGAATTAAGTTGCTGTTTCAGTGAATTCCAATAATATGAAATTAAAGCAGGGCAATTAACACCAATAAAGACAGCAAATATTCACCATTGCACAGTGCTCTCTTGAAATGAGTTTTGCATTTTAGTGAGAAAATATAACAAAGCATGGTTAATAAAGAAGCATCTTTATTCATTTATTCTAAAGCATTTACAACAACATTTCAAAACATGCTAGTAAAATATTTCATAACAGTAATTCCATAGTTTGCAATCCTGATAATATGAGACTTTCTAGGGACAACAACTATTAAATCTTTTCTGACTGATAAGGACAGACATTTTTCATACGGATTACGAAAAGTGGATTAGCAAAATTCATCTATCATCTTCAAAAGTTTCCACTGTTATCTTCTGCTTTATAGCAGGAGATCAAAGCACAGTGGGATGAAAAAGAAATCACTGATGTAACACCTTTCAGCACAGCCTGTTGGCATAACAACTCAATTATCTAATGCACAACCTGATGAGCCCCTAGTACACCGCTTTATGGAGGGGAAAAAAGGGAAAAAACCACAGGATGAGGAAAATTAAGAAGTTATTAATCTTCCAAACACATTCCGAATGTTTGCTAACTTTTGCATAGGTTGTGCACAGTGCAGCATCGTTTTCCTTGAGGGCAGTAAAGACATGAATGTTAGGCAAGCAGCTAACTCATTTTTACATTGTCTCTTCCTTTTTCCTTTGCTCTAGTTGGTCAACTTACAGTTAAAAAAACATGAGGTACTAATTTTAGGTACTTATATTCCTTATCTAATCTGTTACACCAAGCTAGAAGCAAAGTCACCCTACACAGTCAATGAAGACAGAGGAAAAGCGAGCAAGAGGGCTACGGCAAGGAGATAACTCGTATCTTAAGCAGGTTGCATTGCTGCTGGGGTATGCCCATCTCTCTCTGCTCCTCCTCTCCAGGAAGCAATCATTCACCACCCTCTGAAGACACACGTCTCAGGTGAATAACATTAGGTGGGAGGGACACAGGCCCAAGTGTTAAGGTAAAATAAAAGATGTAAGCCAGTCAGAGAAGAGAGATAAGAATTGTACTGACTGAATAAATGGCTGCTTTGTAGCATTTCCTTGCAGGTAGAGGAAAGAGGAGAACACTGCTATCCCAGCGGTAATCAAAGTTCTTAATTCTTGTTTTTACTTCCTTTCAGTGCTAAAAAGATTTGGCCCTTGATCAGGACGAGATCCAGTCATAATAAAGTCACCAACCCCCCCTTTTTTTTTTCTCCTTGCAAATTCTTTGGTTGGGGGTGAAGGGATTTAATTTGAATTTGAAACAAATGTGAAACAAATTTTACTCTTGGCGCATGCTTTCCAAATTAATATAGAAATCAAAGACAGCAAGAAGTCTGCTTTTAAAGGGAAAACATGCACACAATACAAAATTACTCCACTGCTTATACTTAAGACCAGTTAGACTGGATGCGTAAGTGAGATCTGGGATGCATTACTCTTCAGTCTCTTAGACGTGACTCTTCATAACAACAGGTTAAGGCAAATTAGTAGACCTTAGAAAGAAGCCACAAAAAAGTTTTAGGGATTCCTGACAATTTTCATCTGCTACCATTAATCTTGCCCCCCAAACCCTCCCACCACCTTTTTTTTTGTCATTATCAGTGCTATCCCAAGTATATGATACTATCTGTATCTTTCCAGCAACAGAATGGGTCTTTTGGATATAGGTGAAAAATTAGTAACACATGAAAAAAACACTACTGCTGCCACTTGAACAAGTGGCCAGTAAGTTTCACAGCACAAAGACTTAGAAAGAACACCATGAAATGGCCAAGATGAAAGACAGGTTTGCTATGGAGTCATGCTGTCCACATAAAAGTCATGACTCCAGGAATTGTCTGCCACACATCGAATTATTAGCTGCTGATGTGGAGCTTCATATTGCTATTTCCTGTCTTCAGGGGTCAGAAAAATGAAAGCAAGACATGATAGGCAAGGTTGAGAAGATATCAGCTTTCATTATGAGGAAGAGTAAGTTAGGGATAATCTGGATGTACTTTGTACAAAGCCGATGCCTTATAAATTCTTAGGAAAAGAAGTCCACGAGAAAAGTTAAAAAAAGGACAATGTTGGGTTTTATACCATGAAGAAGAAAAGGTTACACCTAGCAACCACACAGCACGATAGCAAAATGGAAGAGACCACAAAAACGCTAGTGTAGGAGCAGGCTGGTGGGCTGGAGGTTCTCGGGCTCTCCTGGGGCTCAGGTCTGGCTGAGTGGGGCACTCCAGTTTTCCACTAGAAGGAGACAGACCAGCCACAGAGCACTCTGCACTGTTTTATGTACTTTACAGCTTTTCTACCCAACTGATAGCCTACCTCCTGGCCCATGATCGCAGTCTGCTGAAATGGCTGCAGCTACAGTGCAAACTCCATGCGCCCACTGCCCCCCACATGCGTGTCTGCATGCACACGCACCCACCAGCAACACGCAGGTCCTCACCCAGAAAGGGCATGCATTTAATTTGCAAGGCAATCTGAGGTTGTTCAGAAGGCCAATCTAGTCCAAAATCATTTAAGTTCGCGTTTGTACGTGCCTTCAACCGAACTCCTTTTTTTTCACTGAAAAACGAGGAGGCTATCTAATCCATTTAATCCCATCTCTCAGCTAACTGGAATTCTTTTTGGAAGTATATCAACAACCTACTTGCATTAGGAAAGCTTGCTATTGTGCAACAGGGGGCTGGGAGAGGGGGGTTTAAATACAGAGCAGACTTAATTTGGAATTTCTTTGTTCCCACTACCCTTGTCAAACCCTTAATCTTATGTGAAAGTAGTGTGTGACTTTACCCATAGCTATTTTCAAGTGGAAAATTGCTGGATTTCTTAGGAAAGGCTTAGGCTAGAAAAGGACAGACCAGCCAGAAACTTCATAGATTTCTGTGAAATAAGAGGTTTAAGCAAGCCTCTAAAAACTTGCCAGTATTGGCACTGGTACTCTCGTGGGATCTTTCCTGTATAAAGTTAACAGGACCAAAGGGGAAAAACTCTAGCACAAAACATCATCACGATGAACATCACTTTAATTAAAAGTCTATTTTTCCCACCCAGAGCGTCAAAAGTTTCAAAGCTGTTTCCTGCCCACACACCTGCTTCTCTAATCTGCCCTATCTGCTTCATATTTTACCACAAGACTAACTTAGAGAAAACAGCAGCACTGAATGAGCAGAAACCCTATTTTCTTACGGTTTCCTGTGAGTCAAAACCCCATTTATCACATCAAGAGTTATGGCAGGGATGCATCTTATGATTGCATTTGTTTCCATCACAGTAAGCAAATGTACGGGGTGAAGCGGGCCAAAGCCAGACCCCATCACAGCAGGCTTCAGCTCCCAGGGAAGCTTCTGGCCCAAGTTCATCAGGCACTTCATAACCAGCAGCCGTGGTGCACGCGACACGCTGCATACAACAACGGGCGAGTGTGAATGACATACAGAACTGTGATGAAAGGAATGAGGAAGAACCGGCTGCTAAAAGTATCTTCCTCATTGCTAGTTAAAATCTTATCATCATGATTTAATGAGAAATTAAGGTTCTGTGCGATTGCCTTCATTCCATTAGGAAACAGATTACTAGCTTACGTATGCTATCCTAGGCACCGAAAAGGCATACTCCATCAAAGTAAACGTCCCCATCAAGAACAAAATTTCAGTATCTGCCTAGTGAGGGATCCCAGGAGGGAGATAATACAGTTATCTATTATTCTATTATGAAGCACCAGATGATTATTCTGAAGAAAAAAAAACCTACCTCAAAATTTCTTTCTCTGTGTTTCTTCCCTGGAGAGAAGCAAGAGCTCAGCTGTGAAGTGAGATTGCCCTGAACACAAAATCTCAGCTCAGATCAGCCCCAACACGATGCATGTCGGGAGCTTCTACTTTTGCTTGTAGCACATTCCCACAGAGGATGCTTGCACACGCACCCTCAGGGAAGAGCTTATCGTCTCCATAATGTCCACGGACACTGGACAGTGTTTTCCCTGATGAGAAATCATTATTAAATACAACTTCTGTACCACTCAGCTACTTGAAAATTAACAAAATTGCAACAGAGCTCCTTGCTTCTAAGAGGTGACATCAGGTAAAAGAGATGACCTGGCTTCTCCACTGCTTCTGAAAATGATCTTACAAAGCAGCACTGTGCCAAACCTTATGACTCACGCTCATTACACAGGGCTAGAACCAGCTAAAATTTTTAGGATTTTTCTTTTTCCTTCCCCGCTGTTACTGTTGGTATGGTTGCTCTTAGCTTCAGTACAAAATCTGCTGTTTATACACCTATTCCCACTTCTTTACTCCTGTCAAAGAAATCTGTAATGTCATCTAGGAAGATAAAAACAATCTTATTCCTGGCCACAAATGCATGAATATTTTATTTCTTATCAAAGTTTCTTTAAACCCCAACTCTTTGCTTAATACTTTTTTTCAATCCCCTGTTCATTTGTTCTTTCCATTATCACACACATCATGGCTGAAACATGCTAAGAAATTAATTTTCAGAACTCCCATATTAACCATGTACTGAACTTGTTATAACTG